AAAATTTTAGAAAAAAGGATAAACAAATGTAGTTTCATGTTACAATTTGAAGCCATTCTAGAAAGAAAAGGTAATTTAGATTTTTTTTTTTTTAGGGTTATAAGGTCAGTCAATTTTACCAATCTTGTATACAGGTAGGGTAGAGAAAACAGATAAAATGTTTGAAATGTATTTAGGAGGTTTTAGAGATCACACAAGTGATTTTTGAGTTGAAGAAAAGTACTTTTAATCTTAACATGAAATCACTTTGCACTCGAACTGGTATAAAAAAAGGCTCGATATATTCACCGACAAATCTTCAGTAAAAATACTTCATTAAAAAACAGATTTTTTTTGTTTACAAACAACTTGTGAAGTTTACTAAAAGTCTGCAAATATTATGGAGATACACTTAGTGCACTAAAAGTTATAGTATTAAAGTTATATGCAAGTAAAAAATGCTCACGTGGTCGGTCCCTGGGACCGAGCCCGTGTTGGAAGAGTTAACCCTTTCGCTACGAATAGGTAAAAGTGCGCATGTCACGGCCTTTTACAGTTACATTCCAAATTTAATTAAACTACTTTATTATCAATGTATATCGATAAAGTTGTCATTAAACTTAATTTATAGATCAAATTTTAATAACATAAAAGTTCCAATATCGTATTTTTAAAAGTACACACACCCACATATTTACCCGTTGTTCTAACAACGTTAAGATGGCTTATCGACTTCTTGAGAAGAATTCTAAGAAGAAAGTAAACCTGCAGACATCGGTCTTGTTTAACAAAATCTGCCTACAAGAAAATCTGTCACCAAAGTATACCAACATCCGAATATATAAATATATGTACTATAGTTTTTGAAGTGATGTTAAAATGACATGGTTCACAGCAACATCAAATATAAATCAGCAATAAAAATAAGCTAAGATGAGAGAACATTTCTACAGTGTAAAGTGACAGAACTTTATTGTGTGGAGAACTAGTTTTTCATGCACTTTTTTTTCATAAACTCTGTTATCTTGGTGTAAGTATACATGATTCATGCTTTTTCTAGGACATCAGACATCATACAAAAATGCTTTAAGTATTGTATATTTCACTTATAGTTTTTCCCCTTTGAAATTAGATGTGATGGTTCTGAATGACATCATAGAACAAGCAGCTGGAAGGCAAAGCAAAGCTAATGAAAGAGGTAAATATCATGCCCATTCTAGGGTATGATCCTTAACTGTAGCTGCCACTGGTGGTTCCTTGCCTGCTTTCTCCATCTGGCCTGGTTACAAGTAATACCCTAAACAGTGTTTAGGAATGCTATAGGACTGCTTTTTTTCCCATAAAAGCAACTTTATTAGTATACCTTTTGTGTGAGGTAGAAGTAACAGCAGATTATTTCTGCATGTTTGCGCTGAGGGTTGGACTTGAATATTAATTCTACCATTCAGAATGTAGATGATGACATGGCCATGCATGATAAACAGTTCTTGTTGATAGCATGGGTTTTTTTATTAATTACTTTAAGTCTTTGAAAAAACCTAAAGCATGTATAGTTTTCACTATATGTTATTTTGTAAATTAGTTTAAATATGAAATAGCTGAGTGTATTAATTTTTTTTTTGACAAAATATAACTAGATTTTATAGTGAAATTGTGTATATTTGAGACCATGGAAAGAATAACACTTTCACTGAAATTTCTTAATACTCTTCATCAGTTAAATAATGTAATTCATAAAATAGAATTAAAAATTAAAAATTTTCTGTATCCAGTAACCTACTATCATATAGATTTAAAAGTATATTTCATTTCCTTCAATTAAAATAGCTTATATAATTGGTTGCATCATTTTGTCATGTAAATCTGATTAGAATGCTATTAATGGACAAACTACTAATAATCCATTCAAATGATATCAGTTGAAAAACTTAAAACTTTACCCTGTAGCTTTTTCTTTATTTTTGAAAAGTTTGTTATTGGTTTTCAGATGTGCCATTGCAAATTCAAGTATGGAAATAGCACAATATTAGAAGAATAAGAAGTATTTTATTTTTAAAGGAAATATATATATATTTGATAATTGTGACTGTTGTATGGCAGAACATTGTAGATCACATAAGAATGCAGATACGGTGTATAATTACCTTTCTAGCTTGGGATCATATTAAGCAAGCAAAATAAACAGAAATTCTGTCTCTGTTCATTTACTGTTTTATAGGTACATCACATCCTTCTATCTAACCTGTATATGGAAGAATCACGAGAGTTATTCTCAGTTACTAAACATTATCAGCCCCCCAGTGGCACAGTGGTATGTCTGTGGACTTATACCCTTAGAAGCTGGGTTTCGATACCCATGGTGGGCAGAGCACAGATAGCCCTCTGTGTAGCTTTGTCCTTAATAACAAACAACAACGACTAAACATTATCTTAATGATTTCAAAAATCATGGCATTAAGCCACTGCAATTATCCACATACTTTATACAATTAAAATATCCTAAAAGCTGTTTAGTATTTTCCAAACTAAGACTACCTACTATAGTGTTAAGAATCAAGAGGAAAAGCAGCATTCAAGTCCTCAGTTCACTTAAAAATAACTTATTATTTGCTCTCTTTGTATTTATAAGAACAAAATTATGAAAGACATTTTAAGTTTCTTAGTTTAACTCTATTTAGATTATCACAGATTATGCAAAATCATTGTACTTGGCAGATAGCAATACTTCTTCCAGTTAATTGAAAGTGTTACCTTACAGCATAGAAGAATGTCTGGACATAAAAAGTCATTATGAAACATATTTCACATAAGTAGGAAAATAATCACTCTAAAATGGATATGCCAAAGTAATAAGACTTTATACTCATAAGCAAAAGTATGTCTGATATTGTTTAAGCTACATTTGCACTTACTAACCCAGTGTCATATTCTTATCGTTATCCATTTGAATAATGCTCAATTAATATATTTTACTTAACTCACAATCATTGAAAAACTGGTGAGAGGTATAATTTTTTAAACCAATATATGCTTAAAAGGAACACATGAAAGATGTTGACAAAACATGCCTTTAAAGTATGTGGTTTTTGTTTAGTGAGACATTATACAAGAAGTAATTACTGTAGACAAGTATGATATGCTTATGTCTGACCTCTGTCTGAAATCAGTAAATTTGAGATATGTATAAAACATGTATAAATTAGATGTACTTTTGCAGGATCCCTGAAATTATTCTGTTTCAAGAATGAATAAAACCAAAATTAAGAGTAAGAAATATTTTTATTTCTTGATTTTCAAGACCATATGTCATGCTGTATTGTAGCCTACAGAGTGCATAATTCTTCTTGGGATTCATGGCATGCTCACATTTTACTGATGTAACGACAGTGTAAATTGCAATGTTAAGTGTTCCTTACGTGACATCATTTTACCGTCTAGTGATTGACTGACAGACAACACACTACTTTGACTGTCTTTCTGGGAAATGAGATGAACATCATTAAGTATAGCTTCACATGCACAGAACTCCAGATATAGTTACATTTGCAGCATGATATCTTTGTTCAGTTTTTTATTTTTAAAATATGAATGAAATCTATTTCAGTAACTGTAGACTTAATTCCGTATGCAGAACTGCAGACAAGTTAAATCCATGTATATGCACATGTAATGAGCTCACATTAATAGAATAACATTCAATCAAACAATTCAGTGAAAGTAATATAATTTGTCTTGTTTAATAGTTAAATAAAAACAACTTTATTTCCATGGTCTCCTAGTAAATTTTGCTGTAGCGTGAAAGTGATTACTTTACTTAAAGTATATATATATATACGTATCTTTACCTGAAAAAATATATTAATTAATCTATGTTTCAAAATAGAGTGAAAGAATTTTAAAGAAGACATTTTTCTGATTGGTTTGTAGAAAAATAAATGGACAATCTGTTGGTTCTTGCCCCCTAGTGGCACAGCAGTATGTCTGTGGACTTACAATGCTTGTGGTGGGCAGAGCACAAATAGCCCATTGTGTAGCTTTGTGCTTAAACTACAAACAAACTGTTGGTTCTTTTGAAACTTTTTTAGTGTGTAATCTTATAGCTTTTGTGTAGTTTTTGCAAAGTTTGGTAATTAGTTTCTGAAAAAAAGATTAAGCAAAATTCAATAACTAAAAGTAATTTTCAGATTAGTGAACAGTTTTATCAATGTTTTTTTAGGATATACAATAAAATTGAAAAGAATTCACATTTAGATTCACAATATAAAATAATTTGATGACTGACAAGACAAATGCTACTTAAATGCATTCCATTTCTTATTGTATTATGGCAGTTTCATAATTTATTAAAAAAGAGATTTAAAAACCTTCATTTCAAAATTCATTTAGATTTGAGGATATTAAAAGATAGAACATTGCTCTCAGGGTCTTTTCCAGATAAAAGTAAAAATGTTTTAGATACTTTACTTCAAACAGAAAGTAACAAGCCATTGTATAAATTGTATATAGTTTGTTTGCTATTTCTTACTGTAGAAATTAACATTTATATTGTGAATCCCTCAACTGTCAGGTGGGTGTGTAAGGTAATTGTGCTAACCTGTACATTGTAAGAACCTCTAATTAGAAAAGAATTAATGGTCAAAACTTATTTTTGTTGGATAAGAATAGATTGTTTTTAATTTGACAGTGCTTACTACTGAAATGTGGAAAAAATACAAAAACAAAAGCTAGAAATTATTGAATGATATTCATCATAGTATAAAAAACAGTATTAGAATAAATATCCTGATAGTAATGGAAAATTGTGGACAAATATTGAATCCATTTTTATATATTTAACAACAGTAACTTACACATTCAACAGATGATCAAAATAACTTTCCTTTCAGTAAAATAAGTAAAACAGTTATAATAATGAAAATTTGCAATGAAAAACAACAGTACAAGATGTTAATGATTTTTGTGAAAGAAAGCTTTACTGAAGAGGAAAAAACATAGACATTTGAGAGAAAAAAAACTTGTATGTATTAAAATTTCATAAGTTTAATGTAATTCTTGTATCTTTAAAATATCAAGGAATAGTATCTTTGTTTTAGTAATTTAGATAATTTTATTTTTTTCTTCTTTGCCTGTGAGTGCATGGGAACCACCATAGAAATGTTTGAGAGTAGAATAGCAAAAATCTCCTACAGGATCAGCTACTGTCATACTTAAACATTATTCAGTGTCTATCTATTATTTTCCTACAGAGAAGGAGGAACAAGAGAAGATCAAGCTTAAAGAACGTTGCGTGGCGCAGTGCTTGAAATGTGTAGACATCTTCTGTGTTTGGGACTGTTGCTGGTGTTGGATACGCTTCCAAGAGTTTGTCTCTCTCGTTGTCTTCGATCCCTTCATGGAGCTGTTTATCACACTATGTATTGTAGTCAACACCCTCTTCATGGCAATGGATCATGATAATATGGACCCAGAATTTGAAAACGTCTTAAAAAAGGGAAACTATGTAAGTGCGTGCAGTTGTACTGCATTGGTACCAGTTATGCAACTTTTCATAGGGAAAATTTTTAAAGTAAAATTTTACCAGTTACTTGACTTGTACAAACCCCCTTTTTTCATTATCATTTATTATTTTCAATTATTTGATTTAATTTCCTTGAGAATATCATTTTTTCTTATGTTTTGAAGTTTAGTACTTCTCTTTTAAAAGTGCACAAGTTTCCAATTTTTTCAGTGCATATAAACACTTTTAACTTGGATTGTCATTATGTTTTATACATAACTGACTTTATGGTTTCGGAGATCATTATTTTGATTTTTAGCTTCTTATTTGTGTAGTTTTGTTATAACCTATAATTTTTGTTCAGACCTTTTGAATTTTTAGGTGATCATTCATAAAAGAGCTAAAGTGTATTAAAACATCATATTAACAATTTGTATGTTTTGTAATAATGCATTAGTTTTATATAGGATAATTGTAAGATGCAAAAAAGGGGGGAAAAATTTTGAATATATTAAGTTCTTTAAGAATGAAAATAAAAAGTTGCATAACTGGTGTTTCTGGAACATTGCGAGAGTGCCGTGCTCGTCAGTTACATGTGTAATATTTGTTGAATTGGTCTTAAAATCACAGAGAATGTCTCAAAAGAAAAACTAGGTTCAACAGATGATAAATCATTAACACATGCACATGATAATTCAAACTGATCAACTGGTGGTGGTATTTCACCATTCTTTCCTCATTATTCTGAATTCTCTGATTGTAAACCACAGTTTCTCTGTGAGTGACTGCATGACTTTTGTAAAGCTTTGTTTGCCTTGGCTTTCAAGAGCATGGCACCCTGTATTCACTTGTGTTCCACGCACTTTTCGTTGTTATGCTGCAACAATATGGCTTTTCAGTTCCATTAAGCTCTCTGTCTCTAATCTTATCGAAAGCACCTTTTGCATTGCAGTGTGTATAAAGCACTTGTTAAGTGGTTGTTGTGTCTGTGGTTCTTTGTTTGGACTGCCTATATAGATCAACCTGCCTGGTCTTAATTGATTGCACACATCTATGAGTGCTGAATGGATTCAAGAAATAGTTGGTGAGTCAAAACCAGAAGGTAAGGATTATGCACAGACTGGGTTTCTTTTTTAATACATTTTTATGTCTGTTGTTTTAATAAAATGAAAATCTTCGGTTGCCTTATATTTTATTACATTAGTTACACATCTCATTTAGATTATAATTTCAGTAACTTGCAATGACTAAAAACTATTTATTACCCTTTATTTATATAATCACCAAATATAGTTTATGGTTTGCTTCAGTTGATTAATGTGAAAATAAAATGTAGAAAGCTTGATCCCAATGAGAATTTACATTTAATACTTAACCAATTTTCAACTAATTTTTAATTAATTTTGCTATAAAAGTTAATAGAACATTTGCAGCTAACATTACATTTTCTAAAGATTTACAGTAATGTTTTAAGTAAAATGTAATTTATCTGAAAGGACAAACAAAAGAGTATTCACATGCTTTAGTTTGCTTTTTACCCCTAAACAGTGTTAAAGCATCATTGAAAAAAAAAAGGTTTTCAAAATATTGCTTTAATCAAAGAAAAACACTCAGTGTTTGGTCATTAGATTTTAATTTTATCAAAATTACAGTATAAGTTATATTCTACATAATTTTTTTCTATCTTATTTTAATTATTTTTGCAAAAGAATACCTATTTCAGTGGAACTTTAGGCATAGTAAATTTGAGAACTTTATGGAACTTTAACTGCCTGATGAATGAAAAGGAGATGACATTTTAGCTTCTTTACTGAGGCCATCTTCAAGAAGGACTCAGTATAGAAGCTGAACTTGTCCCATTTTCATTCAGCAGGCAATTGCAGTCCATTAAAGTACTAAAACTTAAAAGAATGCCCAGCTATAATTAGATTATTATTTTCAGACTGAAATATTACCCTAAAACTTTTACATGAATCTAACATGCTTGAACCTGTTTTTGTTTATAAGAGGTGTTTATTCATTGCTCTGTTAAAACTATATAGTAATTGAGGGAGTGTGGCATAGTGATCACTGTGCATATAACCTAGGTGTAACATCCTTTGGCCTAAGTAAATAATATTATTCTGTAAGGTGTGCTCTCAATAAGGTTCTGGCAAGTGTCTGATCATTGTTTGTATCTATTGCTATTTCAAAAGCTAAACCAGCTGATTGTAATAGGAAAGAATTGGTCTAACCTTCAAAATTTGCCTTTTCAGTTTTTGAAGTTGTTTTGTAATATTAAGATCTGTTGGCTATTCTAAGAAATAAGTATTTTACTGTGAGTTCAGGTATGGGTCGCATTGCCTGTAAGCTTGTAAGTATTATCCATTTTCCTTCTTACCAAATCCTCTGCTACACTCCTTGAATTTGTTCATTCAGTATCCTTTGATATCCACAGAAATTTGTAAAGATATTTCTAAGGTACAAGTATGTCCAATGTACAGACTCCAATAAGTCACATTATAATATCTCACCATAATCCTCCACACATGGCACAATCATAGTTGAATTCTTCACCTACCTGCTTCCTGATTTGTATTTGGTCATCACTTTGGAACAGGTGGAGCAGCTCTCTCACTATTAAATTTGTGAAAAGTGATAAAGATTTCAATGCTTACACCACAAGGCATTGCATGTGATTCTTTGAAACAATGTACAGTTTTCATAGGCCACATCAATGAAGAACTTGCCACAAAAACCTACAAGTTAATGTCACATTTGGTTACATTGTCTTCTGTGAAATCTCTGTGAATTTGTTTCAAAGATAATTTCTAGCAGTTTTTCTTAATTCTCACCAATGAAAATTTGTTATGAATTTTAAGTTGATTCATAAACCTGTTAAATGTTGTGCATTATCTTATGCTCCCAATTCCATTGAATGGCCTAATGTACTTAAAACTAGGCATGGCCAAGTACTGCAACTTTTTCACCTGGCACACACATCAACAATACTGCTCTTCCTATCTAATGTTTTATGATAGGCAGACTATTTTATATATACAAAAATATATGTTTGGATACTTAGCAGGACAGACCACACATTACTCCCATATTTGTTTCTCTCTCTCTCTCTCTCTCTCTCTATATATATATATATTAAATTATGCATAAAATGGCAAAGGTAATAATTAAACTCACACAATCTAAAACCAGATTTTATTTCTATTGTACCTTTACTAGAAAACAATTAAAAGGGCCTTATTCACCATAACCAGAATGACTGCTATCTTATTATTCAGCAGATACTTTTATTTAATGTTGTACAAAAAATTTTCACATATTAGGAAAATTGCTTGTAGGTCTTATCAATAATTGTTTTGTTTTGACTTTAAATTCATTGATATTTGTTCAACTGAATTAAAGTTAAAGGTATTTGCAATAAAATTACATAATAGCCTTTCAAATGCAAGTAATTAATACTGCAAAAAGCTCTTATTAAAATACTGTGCAATACAGAAAAATTACAAGGGCTGTATATATTTCAACAAAATTAGGTTATGAGCTATAAAATTGTACTTGGTGTGTAATTTCATTTACTCTCTCTCCGACTTTAATAATAATTGTAATAACAAACATATTATTACAATTTTTACGTATTTGACTTCCAAAACAATTTCTAGTGAAGAGGCATACAACATCATCATGTATAAATATGGATTGGATTAACAATTAGAAGATATTACCTTTCCTACATTTTAGGATTCTCTTAGAATTTGATGTATTTTTTTTCTCCTCTTTTATATTTCACTTAGCTGTTTCTCATGTGAATATTTAATTGAAATGTTTATGGCAGTATGATTGTTTTTCTTCAATTAAGTTTTATTTTGTTTTGTTTTGAGAAGACAGTGTTATCCTGTAGTGCTTATACAACTTGCTAAGTTTACGAGGCATTTCTTGTTAACTGCACATAGCACATTCCTCTTAACAAAAACTGAAGTTAAAAGAGGCTTAGTTAACTCATGAAAATTGTACTAAAATGATATGGAACAACAAGCTGAGCTTAGAGGAACTCAATCACCTCACCCTTTTCTCTCTGAAAGGTAAGGGCAAAGGCATTTGAATATTTGTTTAATTACTTGAAAAAGAAAATTATTTATGAGAAGTTAATGCATGAAATAGCAGATATTATGTTAATAGTTCAATAAAAAAATACATAAATTAAGTTACAAATATTTAAGTTATTTCCCTGTAAGGATCTTCAAACTTTCAGAAGATTGAAAATACTGAGCTGTAATTATATCAAAAGCATAGTTCTTGTAAAAGCACTATAACCATTATTACATACAGAACATTTCTTATGTATAGATGTTATATAAACAAATTATTATTGTTTTAAGGATTAACGACAACAAAAGGTATTATTTCTGCCCCATTTCATTTGATCTTTTTTTTTCTTTCAGAAATATACTGTTTGTATTATCATTTTGAAACATTTATATTAGCTTAATAACAGGATCTAGCCAGATAACTTATTGTACACAAATGTGTTGTAAACTAGATTTTTTCCAGTAGTCCAGTAGGATAACAGTACCAACCAATTATATAGGCTAGTAAGTCAGTACCATTTTGTTTCTTAGAAGTCTTGTAGCTGTATATAATGTTTGTTACTTTCTTTTAAATTGTATTATATACATTTAGTGTTAAATATGTTGAGAATAGCTTGTGTATACATTTGTAAAATGTATGTGTAAATTAAAGATCACAGCTTAAGACTTAGAGTCATTTGATTCAGGTTAAAGTAGAATCTATGTATCTGATAAGCTTAGGAAGAACGTGGTCTTAAACTTTATTCTTCTTTTAAGTGAAGTAATGGAAAATCTTTGGCTTTTTTTATCAGTTACACAAAGAAAATATGAGTGGTAAATTTTATTATCGGAAAACTTTTATTTTTGACAAACTAATTAGCATGTAACACTGCAATAGAAGGGCTTCATTCAAATTTATGAAGTTACCTTACTTTCATTTTTAACAAAACATTTATTTAAAAATAAAGTAAACTTAATGAGCAAATTGCAAGTTTCAAACTTACAAGTAAACTGTTTAAAAAGTGATTCATTAAAATATCTATCATTTTAGACAAAATGAATTAAAATATTGTTTTGAACTCTCAAGTAGTTCCTAATTTTTTGCAGGTTCTTTTGCAAAGGTTCTTACACAAATAAAAATAGCTAATTATTTTACAAATTATTCAATTTTAACTACACTTCTGAAGCATTTTCTAAGCAACACTTTTATCACAACTGCTGTATATGTTTGGTAAATCATGTAAAAATGCATCATTTTTATAATGTTTCTTTAATGATGATTTCTATGAAGGCTCTAAGTTCAGTATTACAGAAAAAAAATTTTCTCTGTGAGTAATAAAAGTAATGGTACATGTATAGGTATTAGCTGGTGTAATTACTTCAGGGTTTCATCAAAAATACTAAAAAGCAGAACATTTCAGTGTGGATGAGAATATGCATTTCATATGAAAAGATTCCACTTTTTATTATATTTTGTGAGAAACTAATTTTGTAGTGCTTGATGAAGCTGTTTTTTTTATCTAACAAAGTATAAATGTTTGGATAAAATATTTAATTATAAGAACTCATTAAAATATTGAAAGTGTTTACGAACCTGTGTGGCATGTTTTAACAATTATTTCAAAGTTTTAAAGTTTATATGCATGCAAAGGTATATAAAAATTCATTTATATATTAGTGTTTGCTACATCAACTGCTGCATGCTGATACTTTCAAATGTGTCTTGATGTTATTCTGCTATTTGACCTCATTAAGTTACCTACAGATTTTTTATTGTGTGTAACCACATATGAAAGACTAGCTTGTAGTATAATAACTTAATTACAGTATTAGCACTTACTGAGAAACTTCGTTGGCTGATTTAAACCAATTTGAAGCCATTATTAAACATTTAAAAACTATTGTAGCTTAGTTGACAAGCTCAAAAACTATACAATTAAAATTTAAACATAAAAAAATATTAATGTGAGCCTTACGTTTATTAAGGATTATGATTACTACTCGAACAAAGATGCCACAGTTATTTCTAACTGATTCTCTAATTCAGTGGTTCTCAAATGTTTTTGATCATGGACCACTTGGATTTATTTTTAATATTCACAGACCACAATATGATCTATACACTACACTGCCTCTTCTTTTCCATAACTACACAACCTTTCCACTGACTACGTGAAGGGAGCCAGTGGATCAAAGATTCAGGGCCACCACTTTGGTTCCATCTATTTCTATGTCCGAAAATATTAATTTGAGCTTAACATTTATTAAATTGTATTATTTTCATTATTGCTACTCAAACAAAGATGCCACAGTTATTCCTAAATCATCCTCTAGTTCTTTCAATAGCTATATTGTAGTAACTAAGCTGATTTTAACCTGGAGATATTTATGTCTGTACAAGAAAAAAAATTGTAGTTGATAAAACAATACAGATATAATATAGAAAAAAAAAGTGTGAAAAAATGATAAAAATGCCAAAGAATTTTAAGCAAATACTATAATAAGAATCACAAAACAGAAAGATTAGATGCCTGTTATTAGAAATATAGCCAATTTTTTAACCTTTATTTGCATCATGGATTGGTTACATATAATTGTTTAACCAACCAGCATTACTTCAGGCCTGAACAGATTGACTTTTAATACATGTAAAAAATAAAATATATATATAGTGTAACAATCTAAGTAACCATAATTAACAATTAATTATAACTACCATTTCATATGTTTTGTTTAATTTTGTATCATATATTATTACAAAATGTTGGTGGCATGCAATACAAGGAATTGTTAAAAAATTGTCTCACTGGAAAACAAAAGAATATTTTAGGAACAAACCACATAGTTTAAGTTTTGCTTTGGAAATTATTTTATCTTTACAATTACTTTTATAGTCGATAGTGGTATAGAATAGTTATATAATGTATTGTTTCAGCTTCAACCATTGTAGTAACATTATAGTATTATAAAACAGTTTCCTTACAATCATTCATTCTTTTCCAGCCAATGGTGTACATGACAAACATACTCATGATTTTTAGTATACTGACAATAGAAATGCATGTCTTTTTCAAAACATGCTAGAAATTTCAAAATGGTCAGACTTACGGAGATACTGTTGTTGATATGTTGTGTTTAGGTAAATTAAAACAGTGTTTTTTGATTAAATGCAAACAATGAAAGTTTTGTTCACAATTTTAAGTGATTTTGAGACATATATTCTCTGAAACTCAAACTGTAAGAATGTTTTTGGAAAAGTAAGTTTCTCTATTAGTTATACCTGTGTATAACATCTAGGTTGTCTTGAGAGAAGGCTGATTATGAACTCCAACAGCCTTGGAAGAACTGAATACTCTGGATGAGAGATTTAATGGATGAGAACATTTCAGGTTACAGAATTTATCCAAAATGTTGTTGGCCATCAACTCTATTGTCTAGTGGATGCCAAAGCTCTTGGTGTCCATAATTAACCATTTCTCATCATGAAAACACAACCTAAATCATTTGTCAAATAATGTTTGTGCTCTCTCTTTTTTTTTTTTTCAGTTCTTCACTGCAACATTTGCTATTGAAGCTGGTTTGAAACTTATAGCTGTCAGTCCAAAAACATACTTTAGAGAAGGTTGGAACATATTTGATTTCATCATTGTTGCTCTCTCTTTGTTGGAACTGACTCTAGAAGGTGTACAAGGGTTGTCTGTGCTTCGATCTTTTCGGTTGGCAAGTAACAACTTTGTTGTCATAATTTTGGTCTTATATACAAGTTTTATTTGGAATTAAATGATATTTTTGTATTCATTTATTACATTAGAGCAGTTTTAGGTAAGGTACATGTACAAGTATTGAGCTGTAGTTATAAGTATTAACTCTGCAAGTACTTTAATTTTATTCAGAATATATGACACATTTATATATTTTGTTTGTTTTTTACTATTTAACAGAATTGTATAATGACAGCTTTCTGCTGCAGACATTATGTATGTAGTCTATAAAATACATTTTTGTTCACATTATTTAAGTGAGACTTATTTTGAAAGAAAAATCTTGATATATATGTATAAACACACACACATATTCAAACATTTCTAGCTAATTTATAAATCTTATTAAACTTTGGTACTTGACAAATTTATATATATATAATAAAAAGGTGTCATTATTATATGATAGAATAGATTGCACTAAATACAGTGTTCTGAAAATTTCACTAAAGTAATTTGAAAGTTATGACAGAAATATACTTTATTATTGTATGTACATCAATGTATGCTAGTGAAATATTTTATTTATGTTCTTTAACACTAGGTATACGTTAGAACATATATTTCTTCCAATGATTTGTTCAATCATTATTGAGATCTTTTATATTCCACAAATCAGTACAATTTCATTATTTAAAATTGGCAAAGTCCTGTTCAATATTGAATAGCGAACATGGGTGATGAATGACCACCAGGCAGTAGATTTATAATATTGTTTCGATTCTATGACTGAATTTATTGCAATTACAACTACTATTATTTTTCTTTAGCTACGAGTTTTTAAGCTTGCCAAATCTTGGCCAACATTGAACCTTTTGATATCAATCATGGGAAAGACAGTAGGAGCATTAGGAAACTTAACCTTTGTCCTTGGAATCATCATCTTTATATTTGCTGTCATGGGAATGCAACTGTTTGGGAAGAACTATGATGAAAAGAAATATTTGTAAGATTTTGTGAAACTAATTGTAAACATTAGACATATTTTCTAATCCATAAGAATATTTCATGAAACTGACACTATATATATAATTTATATATATATTATATAATTTAGAAATTCAAATTATACATTTATTGAAACGGTGAAAACAAATTTTACACAAGCATATCATACAGGCTTTTTTATTTGATATTTTTTTAGGTTTTGGTAAGTTCATAATGAAACTGAAGACTGTAGTACAATTTCTCTGGAGTGGTTTAATGCAAGAAATGTTTCTAACTTATAACTTGAACAAACATCTGTTATTGTTTTTGTTTGAATTTTAAATACATGAATGTTATTTTTAATGTCAAAACTTGTAAAATTCCAGTATTATAGATCTTTGGCTTATCACTCATGCATGAAATAATTACAATTCCACAATAAATTCTTAAGTACTTGTCTGTTATTTGTGTATCACAGTTAAAGCTTACTCTTGAAAGACTTATGTAAAAGATTTAGGAATTTGAGCCTACGAATAAATTATTTTGATTATATTTGATACTTTATTTTATTTCTGCTACAGTGGATAAGGTGTTCCAGTCAGTATGCAAATGCTAAATGATTAGAAATTGTTTGTAACAGTCATTCCCCAGTTTTTTCATGGCACATGTCTTTGCTTGTATTGCTTCCTTTATCACAACCCTACGTAAAAAAATTCTGAGAAATTGTAATAGTAATAATAATAATGATGCTTTATTAAACTTTTCATTAGTAAAATCTATTACAACAGCTGAAAGATTTGGAAGCAGATCGGTGACAACATTTTTAATGCAAGCTATGCACTTGTTTTAATGAGTATAGTTTCCCCAAGAGTGGTTATAGACTTGTTAGTCTTACTCATATTTCTATTACCACATCTTTCAGTCAGTTACACTTCTTTATTATGTGTTGCACTAGTAAGGAAAATTACAGTTTGCAGGGGTATTAAAATGTGATGTTATGAAAAGAATTCTCGTTACTTTAGTTATATTAGGCAAATGTAATAAAATATAAAATTTGATATTTTTTTCTCTAAGTTGTACAGAAAAATAAAATATTTTCTGCTTGCAACACCAGTTCATACTTTCAGCAACTCCTCTGAGGTTGTGACCCACGTTTTACAAGTTAAAGCAGTAAATAGTTCATTTAGGAATAAGATATTTTTGCAAACAAATTTTATTTAGTAACATTAAATGTTACGAGGATGAATTAAAAGCTTGAAAGATCAAATAATGTTGTATTTGGTCAAATTATCAGGGAATGTTAAGAAATATAGAGAATTATTTTTATTACATTGTTAGTAAAAAGTAGAGTGATGGATACGTGATGTTAGAAAAAAATTGTGTTTAGTTTGTAAATCCTGCTTGCGCTCTAGGTTTCCTGATCAGCAGGTTCCTCGCTGGAATTTCCGAGACTTTATGCATTCCTTCATGATTGTCTTCAGAGTGTTGTGTGGAGAGTGGATTGAATCCATGTGGGATTGTATGCTGGTCTCAGACTGGCCTTGTATTCCTTTCTTTTTAGCAACTGTTGTCATTGGCAACTTGGTGGTAAGTAAATGTACAGAAATAAACTCACTAAATGAGGACTTAAAAGTAATTAGCTATGGAACTTTAGGTTTCTTCCAGATTGGCCTGCAGAATCACAAGAGATGTTAAAACTATCTGGAGGACAAAATACCTCTTTCTGAAACACCTCCTCTCACACTTTTGCTTTATCCTGACGAAAGTGCATTGGTATCAATTCTACCTTGCTTGTTCCATATCCTTATACCCCACTATATCACCCCTAGTGAATTTAATTTTATGACTCTCTCCACTTATGTCAATGTGCCTTCTATACCAGATCTGTATATTAGCTACTCCTTATTGCTTTTTATTCACTTTTTCTCGATGGCAGAAATTACAACGATGATCTTATGTGATTAATGCAGGTTTCACTTCAGCATTATTACTATGCTCTAGTAAGTCTTGAGTTTATTGTTTAGTTTCTTTATTGTACTAAAAATAATTTTGGAGACATTTTTCGAATATGGATATACATGCTCACGTCTCAGACATGGAGTAGCCTGATGCTCCTCCTCTACATCATCACGAGTCTGTCGTCACCACGGCATCAGGGGGGAACCTTCTGCAGAGGACATACAGTTCTTCGTATGCAAAGAGGTGGAGTCTTACATGTGCTCTGATGTTTTTTCTCCTATTGGCTCTGAGGCTGAGTTTGCAAGGGATCAAGGGCAGATTGGTGAAAATTTAGACTATATTTCGAGCACCTTCCTTTGCTCAGACATTTAATCCCAAACCTCGGACAGACATTCTGCCTCCTGCACCTTTTTTGCAACTGATACACCAAGTTTGTAATGTTTTCAGTAGCTTACAAATCTTCTCCTTCTTTATTGGGGGAAAATCATTTGTCTGATTACCTGATCCTCCTACCTTTGCTGGGCATTATTGTGCATGCAAGGAGATTTGCTGATCATTTGAGAGAGGTTGCTGCCATGCCTTGTTCTTGTCATTTATTCGATCAGCATGCATTGGCTTTCCATCACCTGGAGAACCCTTACTTGAACTCTCAGAGGTTAGATCCTCATTTTCCTATTTAGGGCTCTAGACAAGAGGCCAAGGTTTGCCTTAATCAATCTCAGTTTCCAGAATTCGTCTGGCACTTACAACAGGTTCACATTTTTTTATCATCTTTGCAAGTGTTGTCTGAGGCTTGTCAAAGATCTCTTGCACAATCATCGGATGATCCTAGTCATTTATTGACTTCTACTTTGGTCAGATTATTGGTTTCTGGTCTCTTCTTGGTATCTTGATTGGTTTGTTGTTGGGATATTTTGGAGAGAGATGCCTTGTTGGAGGGAATTCGCCTTCCTGCTTCAGCCCTTAGAGATCTCAGAAAAGATCCTTTTCTCAGACAGTCTATTTTTGCTAGTACTCCCAATTCTATGGAATCTAGAGTGTATGTGGCCCATTTCCACTCTTCCATTTCTATTGTAGCTTCTTGACTGTCCCAAAGGTCTTCTGTAACATGGTTTCCTGCATATCTTGTTTGAGCTTCCAGACCTCCTGCTTCGGTGCCACAATCTTTTGTAATACAAGGGTGATTCCAACCTTACTAGTGGGTATCCTCTTCTAGGGTGGAGCACGGTTCATGTCATTATGGGATATCTTCACCACAGATCATTGGATCACTCAAGTTCTCAGGAGAGGATTGGTCATTCAGTTCATGTCTCCTCCTCCATTGTCTCTCGTACTGGTTGGCTTTCCACTCCCCAAGGACCCTCTTACATCAATCTCAAGCCATCCAGGATCTTTGGCACAAAGAGGCCATAGAGCTTGTTGACTCCTCTCTCTCGAGTTTTTATTCCCGGCTGTTTGTAGTATCGAAAAAAACGGGCGATTGGCGACCTGTCTTCAACCTTTCTTGTCTCAGTCACTTCATTCAGCCTCCTTGGTTTACAATGGAGTCATATCTTTCCCTTTAGTGGCTCTTTCCACCTGGTCTATGGATGACGAAATTCGATGTTGCTAATGCCTACCTTCATATTCCTATTGCAGAGTCTTCACGATGTTATCTCCATTTTGTGCACAACAACCAGGTTTTTCAGTTTCATGCTCTACCATTCGGTTTCGTATCTGCCCCATACGTTTTTTGTTTCACTTATTGGGCATTCACAATTACCATTACCTGGATGGCTGGCTTCTTCTTGCCACTTCTCACCTCTTGGCAGAACTTCACACTCTGTTATCAGAAGCTGCAAGAGCTGGGTTTCTTATAAAAAAGAAGTCTATTCTTACTCCCACACAGTACGTCATCCATTTAGGGGTGTTTTTCAGTTCCAGGCTAAGTCGAGCCCATCTTTCTCCTTTATTCCTTCAGGCCATGGTTTGGTTTCTTTCAAATTTCGCACAAAGCTACTATAGGGAAAGCAGCTAGTCATCACAACCCGCTGCCAACTCAAGTGCCTCTAACCACCTGGCCATGCCAGGCTTCAGGCCATGGAATGGATGGTTCTTCAAATACAGTTGTCTCCTCCACCCTCTTTTGGGTATGTGGACATCCTTGGAATCACTCATTTCTTTAGGTCGAGCTCGCATATGGACACTTCAGTGGTTGTTACAAGACCAGTGGAACATTTGCACAGATGTATTGGATTGTCTGGTGATCCTGTTGGCTTCCAGTTTGGAAGATCTTGGCTGGTGGTTGGACACGGGGTCAACACGACAGTTGGTGTCCCTCTACCATCCAATTTCCAGAGATGCATCTTTTCACAGGTGCTTCTCTCCATGGCTGGAGCTCTTGAATAGAGAATATGGAATTTGAAGGCCTTTGAACAGAAGAGGAAACTTCTCTTCAAATCAATCTGTTAGAACTTCAAGCAGTTCCACAAACCATTACTTGGGATTTCGAATTGTTGCAAGGGAAGGTGGTAATGCTTCACTCGGAAATTCCTCAGTCATTTCATACATTTCAAAGCAAGGGGCACTCACTCCAGATGTATTTGCTTTTTAACATTGGATCTTCTTTTTTTGAGTACACAAACATCAGATTGTTCTGCTTGCTTATAATGTTCCAGGTGTAATGAATTTAGTGACAGACCAGTTACCTCATCCCAACAGAGCTCTTCCCATGGAATGGACGCTTCATCCTCAAGTTTTTCATTGGATTTTCTCTCATCTCAGAACACCTCAGGTTGATACTTTGTCACACACTGGAATGCTCAGCTCCAGTCCTTCTGGTCTCCTATACCTCACCCTCTGGCGTTTGGTGTAGATGCTCTCAGCCAGGATTGGACAGGTTTTATCTTTATGATTCCCCTATGATTCTTCTGTTATCCAAGGTTCTTGCACTGATTCACTCCATGTCCTGTTGGGTTCTTGTGGTGGCATCACATTAGCCAGGTCAGCCTTGGTTTCCACTCCTCCGGTTTCTTCAGGAGTGTCAACCTCTTCCTCTTCTTCTCTGGCCATCTCTCTTATGTCAGCCTTTGTCAGACATTTTTCATCTTGCAGTCAACATTATTTAACTTCATGCCTGTTTTTTATGCAATCCATTGCACAGCATCAGGGATTGACTTTTCGGGTAGTGTCCTTATTAACATAGTCCAATCGGCATTCACCTTTGGAAGTTTATTAACAGAACTGGTTTACTTATCTTCAATGGTCTTTCAGACAAGAGTTTAATCCTTCTTGTCCCACTATGCTGCATGTCTCTCCATTTCTGACATGGTTATTTGACAAAGGTTTAGTCTATTGCTCTGTATAAGGCTGCTTTATCAGCTACCTTTTGTTTTTCTAAGAGAAGAAAAGTGTTTGAGTCCCTAGTTTTGCCATTACTTCTGAAATCTTTTCAGGATATTCACCCTCATTGTCCTTTCTACATTCCTAATTGGGATATCAAAGTGGTTCTTCATGCCTTATCTTGTCCACCTTTTGAACCTTTGGGATAATATTCTCTATATCATCTGTCACTTAAGACTTATTTTTTTATGTTATTGGCTTGTGGATGTCAATGTTCAGATGTGTTTCAGCTTCATGTTCACAGGAATCTTTACCATTCCACTTATGTTCTGTTGTATTCAGACAGGTCTTTTCTACCCAAAAATTCAGCAGCTACAGAAGGAGGTCAAGCTTTCTTTCCTGTTCATTTGCCCTCCATTTCACATATATATGACTGCTCAGATCTGGATCATCTTTTATGCCTGGTACGGGCTCTCATATGTTACATGGCAGGCACTGAAACATTTCAGAGCTCACATTACCATTTGTTTATTTATTAGGATCCTATTCGTCAGTTGGTTTCATATGGCTTACTCTTGGCTTTCATCTCATCAAATTCAACATATCTCGATGACCCTGGAAGCTCAGTTGTGTGGACCACTGAAGGAAATTGTAAAGGCTGGTATGTGGACCACACATAACACCTTTATATCACACTAATTACATGACTTAGCAGTTCCCTTCTCAGATGGGTTTAGGCTACCCCATGGCTATTCTACATGCCCCTGCTTGATTGTGACAGAGATGTGTGACTTCATTTCTTCTGTGTTATTCTATTCCTTTTCAGGGACCCTCTTGTCATTATCATTTGCATCCCACTCAGTGGCGAGTGTTGCATGGTCAGGTATGCATTTTTCAAATCTGCACTAGCTACCATTCAACTAATAAATAAAATTCCTGATAGCAACAAGCTCTGTTGAGATTGGGTGTTCCATATGACCACCTTAGCACTTTCTGGGTGGTACATAATTGTTCAGTACCATACATAATATACATCACTGGACCATCTCTCATGGACTATCATGAGTACAGCATAAAGGGATTTTGCCATCCCTGCTGACCCCTAGATTAAATTGAGGTTGATTTGCTTTTCAAAATAGGGAACATATTTCACTATTTAACATCATTTTGCGGGACTCCCCAGAGTGAATTCTCCACCCATTTCTCCATAGTGTAGCATGGGAGTCCTTACTACTCCCAGTTTCCAGTCACTGAAATGGTGAACAGAGGTCTATTCCTTGTGGGCGATGTTTGAACACTATTCCACCCAAGGAGAAGAAAGCATAGCTGGATACCCTCCCACCAATAACCCTGAATATTTTTCCTAGATTCCTTGTTTGGAGCAAGACCAGTCTTTGTTGGAGCCTCCTCATAATTCTGGTTCAGAGACGACACTTTACTATCTGGTTGTTTTGAGCGTGGCCCTTGTTTTTGGTCATTATATAACTTTCATTGATCCTCGAACCCTCGTAATTCTGCATGTGGAACATCAAGTCCTTGAGCCATTAATTGAACTTTGTTTGTTTCACATCCTCCTCATAGTTCCAGGGTCAGGTTGGGGAGATAGGATTTAGGTTCATAATCTCAGGCTGGATGATCTCTGTTTTCTTCAGGTTGAGTAAGGTGTGAATGGGCCCCATAATTTCGAGTCCTTGCATGTTTTCTCTCATGATGTTACGGTTTTGACACTGTGGCGGGTTGGCCGTTACTGCTCACAATTTAGATTTCACATTATCCAGGAAAAGAACATTCCTATTTCAGAAGTAGTGCGGACCCCACTAGTGTGCTATACTATACCTCAGTTTGCACACATTTTCTACATGGACACTTTCTATGTGGATCTTGACCTCACTGGCCCCCTCCACCTTGTCATTGTGGGATTCTAGGTAAAGTGTGAGGGGAGGTGTGTTTCAGAAGTTTACATTTTCCTATATCGAAAATGTATTTCCTATAATACTTACCTCCTCATACTATCCTGCCCTTCCTTCCCAAGATGGCCAGTGTTTGGGTCTGATAATTTTGCCAGACTTTAAAAAAGTGAATAAAAAGTAATAATGGAGAGATTATATACAGATCTGGTATAGAGGATGCATTGAAATAGGTGGAGAGAGTCACAAGACTAAAATTGCTAGAAGTGATATATTATGGTGTAAAGAGTGGAGCAAGTGAGGTATGATTCATATTAATGCTTAGATGGGCAGATAAAACAAATTTTCATTGGGATAAAGCTAAAGTGTGAGAGGAGGTAAATATTATTGGAAATACATTTTTGGTATAAGAAAATGTAAACTTTCACAAGTATGATGTTGAAATTCAAAACAGGGTATTTTAAACATATCACAACTTTATTAACTGACTGAAGACTAAACATTTGGAATAGATCATTGTCTTATTCTGATATCATTCCTGGAATATTGTATGCTGAATATGGAGTGAATGATTTTGAAATTAAGCCATTAGTACTTTTTTTATACCTTTTTATCTCATAATGTTTAAAATTTATCAAGAGACTGCTTTAATTTATTCTAAATTATTGACAAACAATTTAACAAAATATAGTTATTCTATTACGGCTCACTTATAAAACAATTCTGTTTAGACTGGTATTTATTTTTCTGTGAAAATAAGAATTTTATGGGAATTTTTTATTCCATGACTGGTGATAGCTATGTTGGAAATTAAAGGAGGATATTGTTGTGCACTTTTATTTGTATGTTGTTCAGGTACACTTGATTTTGTTTTGTCCCCATGGGAATTTGTAATATGATTTAGTATGTATTTAACAAAAAACTTTAAGCTACATTCATCAATTTGTCAAGAGAATGATATATTAATTTGTTATCGCAGAAAGAAACTTTTCTATAACAAAAATTTGTGATGTAAATGCAGTATGATTTTGTTGCTGTATTATACTGTATCTTGATAAGATTTTTAATATTCTAATGATATGGAAGATTATTTATTTATTTATTTTTCTATTGGCAAGGTTCTCAATCTTTTCCTGGCTCTCTTGCTTTCTTCGTTTGGTGCCTCAAATCTCTCTCAGCCAACCTCAGATAGTGCAGATACCAAAAAGCTACAGGAGGCTATAGATAGATTCCATAGAGCATCAGCATGGATAAAATTTCAAATGTTAAGACTGTTGAAGGTATGTTTTAATATATTTTGCAATATTTACAATGTATATTTCTTTATTTGATATTGCTTTTAAATTGGTTCTAATAAATTATTTATGATAGACTACTGGTCACTAAGGCTGAAAAAATTGTTTTTTGTTACATTTTTGTCTTAAAATCTTTTGTTTTCATTAGCTCTGCTGTGACTAAAATTAGGAATTCCTGATAATTGTTATTCAATCAGATTTATAAACTAAACTCATTTCAGTCTTTTTTTATTCATTCAAGTTAATTTTTGATCTATTCAGAAGTAACAATTTTCTTTGAATTCAGAGTTTAAGGCCAAAATCAAGGAATCAAATAGCAGACCAGACAACAGATATTCGAGAGGAGATTGAAGACTGTCCTCCAAGAGGAGGATTATTGTTTGATGGTCAGGTGCTCATGAGAGATAAAAAAAATACAAAAGAACAAACAGAGTTGGATATCATTGTTGGAGATGGCTTGGAAGTAGCACTTCATGGTATATTCTGTTTAACATGAAAACTAAAGTGTCTTACTTACAGCACTTTTTTTGTAAATAAGAAATTTTAATGTAGTTTAACTTGTTTTGACGTTTATGCATGCATACATAATAACATATAATGAATTTTTTCCTCTAGAATTTCCTAAAACAAATCCTATAAAAAATTATAACTGTCACAATAAAAAAAAATGTTCATGACTTTTGATTAAATTGATATATATCAAATTAATTAAGTTGTTCCTCTAAAAACGATTATAAAAGTACATGGGCTGTTTTTATGATATGCATACATTACAAAGTATAAAAACAACTATTTATAAAAATTAATAGACTATAGCAAATTTAGATCTGTGTGTGGGGAATAATGCTGAGTAATAACATAAACCAAATAAAAAGTAAAAGTAAATTTAAAAAATACATTTTATTATATTCTGTAGGCTATGAATTGAGGGAGTATATTACTCTCTGACTTCAGCAATAACCTTTTACATGGTTCTCTCAAAAGAAACAAAATCAATAAAACTCAAAAGTATAAAACTTATCACACTACTCTTTCAGTTTGGTATGTTCAACTTCCTTGTGCAATTTACTCGGAACCTCCTCATTAATATGTAGGTGCATGAATTGTAGTGTAATTTATCTTTTCTGTTATATGATAATAGCACATGCTACCATTTTTATACTTTTGATATTTTCATTATTAGATTCATGTGTTTCAAGTCATTAAGATTTACTAAAAGATTTAACATTAATTTTATTTTCTTAGATTCTAATTGAATAAAACAATTATGCATCCCACCATTCATAAACCTCTTTTCAAATGGATGCTATATTTAACATGTTATTACCTCTTGACTAATTTTTGTGACTTGGTATGTTATTATAAATTCACAAATAGATGGCCAAGCTGTAAAAGTCAGGATGAACAACAAACCAATGATGAATTCTGTCCCCTTAGGCTCCAAGACTGAATACAGGGATAACAACAGAGTGAAGGTGTTTTTTTTTTCTCTTCTCATTATGTGTGCTCATTTGGATTATTTAATACATAATTTTTTATGTACACTATTTTTGTAATTTTTAGAACAGAATATGAATTAAGGGTAGACTGTTTTTTAGTGAAATTCATTACCCTATCAGATTCAAGTGCTTTGCTTTGATGCACCTGTTGTATGGTTTGATTTATTAGATTGTGAAAAAAAAAACTACTCAATGAAATATTTGAGAACTTCAAACACTTTCTACAAATTATGTAGCTTCTGCAAATAAAACATCTTATTTTGATATTTATTATTTGTATGAATTTGTAGCTTTAAGATTTTGAAAAAAATTCATTGTGATATATATATATATATTTAAAAATAAGTAAAAATGCATACCTTTGTTGCATAATTTAATTACTGATTTTTATGTCTTCCTACAGTCTTTTAAACTTGCCTAAACTTTTAAGCAAACTAAGTGTTTGTTATAAAACAGTAAATTATGCTTTTGTTTTGATTAAACAAACACCACACACAGTTTAATTATGTTTATGATCACTGGCATACAATAAATAAAATTTTTAACATGCCAAAATTATAAGCAAGTCAACTTAAAAAAAATATATTATTCAGAAGGTTTCATTCAATATACATAATAACTTTTAAACTAAATTTTGTACATTCATGCTGTTACTCAGGCCAATAATGTCTAGCAAACAGTGGTCTTGTTGGTAGGATGAAACTTGATACAGTCAAGTGCAAAACTATTTAACTAAGCTTACCTCATCTTGTTAGAGGAACATTTCTTTTCCTATAAAATATGATGTTGCAGTATGATAGAAAGTATAAAATGATAAAGCAACCTTTAAAAAAATTGGGACTAATTGTAACAGAAGTTGTTCACAAACATCTTTTTTTCCAGCAACATATTGCCATGCTAAGCTTTTATTATTTTTTACCACCTTTTTCATGAATCTCTATTTCAGTGGAAGCCATATTGGCTTATTCATTTGCAAACAACAGAAAAAGAGCTTTCATTATATGTTTAGATCACTAGCCTATGACTTACGAAAACTGATATATATATGCAGTTACATCACACCATGGCAGTTACATAGTCAAATTAATGTTATAAGAAAACTATTATGAATTTCCTCCTAGGGGCTATGATCGATTGCAATATTATGCTGAGAAAAAATTCAGGAAATTCACAAACACTAATGATTTCATTCACAGTGCATGCAAATCAACTCACAATCAAAACTTGGAACTGTTACTTATTTTTATGTATAAAGCCAAATATATAAAAAAATTTATATAATGAATTCCAGCTCTGAAGTACTTTATTTTTTAATGTGTGGAAGAATGACTTCGAGTTTATCTTCTGTAATTTGTTTAGCTCAGTAGTGCAGTTTTGATCTTGAGATGGATTGCTCCCATCTGGGCATGATAGAGTTAAAAGTCTTAAACTTTTCTAAAATTATGTTATTTTGTACATGTGTCTAATAAGAGGTCAGAACCTATATTTTCTGTAAAAAAAATATAATTTTGTACCACCTTTTTAATGTTTATAATACTTAACTTTTTCAAATGCAATGTAGTGTTGGAACTATATTATTTAACAGTTAATTATTTCATAATACATAATTGTATCTTTTCTTCAAAGCTGTGAAGACATGTTATAAGTAAGCAGTTACTATTAACACACTAAAAACATGTGCAATACATTTTATAATTAGAATACTCTTGTATAATTAGAAAAACAAAATTCAGCACTTGGATTTTATACAGTATTGAGTAACAAACTGTTTTGAATGCTTTTTAAAAATTAATCATTTGATAGTTCTTTAATTCAGTATATAGTATCATCACAACAGTGTTCATTGATTTAAATGTTAAATTTCCTAAATGTTTGACTGGTTTGTGATAAAAGTAACATGCTTAAACAATATTACATGCACAAACATGTATTGCACATACATTTGTGGGGTCTAGTACAAACTGAAGCCTTTCCACCTGGCTTATAATTGCTGTATTATTTTGGGTTTCTTTTTATGTTGCCTTTTCAGTATATAAAGAAAACTACTTTTGATATTAATTTCTGACAAAAAGAAAGTCATGATTGTTTATTAAAGATGGACAACGTCTAATTGTAAGAATTTGTTTTATTTCATTGCAGGAAAATGAAATTTCAGGCAACAAAGTACATCCTTTAAGAGAAGAAGTGTTTGGTGAGAAAGCCAATCATAATCACATGGACTGGAGAGGTGAAATTCTTGTTGTCAGTAGGCCAGATATAGGATGTAGTATTAATGTTTCTCCATCAGTAAGTAGTGATGATGAAAAAAAAGATTCCAGCAAAGAAGATGAAGAGGAAAATCAAGGTAAAAATTGATTTCTTCACCATAGATATTTGGAAAACTGCATTACCAAATTCATGCAATTTGATATTTCAATGTATATAATTTTCAAGACTGTTTCTACAATGTAATTTCATTTTGAACTGTTGTTATTGATTGCTGACAAAAAATTATCAATTATGAAACTTTACTGGTGATTGATAAATATGTATTTTTTTATGTTTTTTAATAAGTACTTTTTTAGCAAGCTCTGATATTTCTTTATTTTTCTATGGACATCTGTATTGTTTGTCAAATTGTGTATTCTTGAATGTGTTTTGAAAAATAACTTTCTTTATAACAATGAAAGAAGTATTCCATTAAGCATAGGTACTTCAGATGTGCAGAACATCTCTCATCATAGCACATGAAAGCATAGGTACTTGAGATGTGTTAACACCTGCAGAACACCCCTCATAATAACACTTGAAATTACTTGAGACATATTAACACCTGCAGAACACCACTCACCATAACACATGAAAGCATGGGTACTTGAGATATATTAACACTTGCAGAACACCACTCACCATAACACATGAAACCATAAATACTTGAAATCATGGTTACTTGAGATCTATTAACACCTGCAGAATACCCCTCATGATACATGTGAAATCATGGATACTTGAGACGTATTAACACCTGCATGTTAAATTATTTCTTTAAATGAGGAAACTCATTACTTAGCAGTGACATCAATTGAAAGACACATTGCCAAACATAATGAGCTAAGCAGTACTACACTTATTAGTACTATGTAAATCTTTCATGTTTAAAATTACATTAAAGAACTGGATAGCATTGTTACAGATCTGTATTTAGAGAAACTGTTACTCAAGAAAGGGATACTGATACATATATACACCTGGAAAAAAGTTAAGCACCCCCAAATAT